GAGCAGACGCCAAAACAATTATCGAGATAAGTGGTCAGTAGATATAATAACAGTTTGAAACCTACAGTAAAGACCAGCATCTGGTCTTCAGGTCATTACTTCAGTGGTAATGTAGACTTGGTACTACAAATACCGTGTAAAGTTAGATTGTGAAGATGGAGGTTTGATGAGAAACTAAATTTAGCTAATGTTCAAACTTATTGTTAGAGCACTATTCGTTTTTTTTCTTTTGTATTTTAATATACCAATAAATTAGTTTTAAAATTTTTTGATTTAACTTAAACTTTTTTTTATAAAATAACACAAAATGAAAGAAGTTTTATTAATAATAACTTATATCCTCTTTGCAATTACTGCATAGAGTGTTTACGTTTTGTCTCGTATGAATTCAGACTTGTTTGTTTATCACACAGCCAGCTCGCATTACGTTGCGCCAAGATCACTACTAGGCCTAGTCGTTAGGTTAGGGCGCTCGGCTCGCAATCCGCTGGTCGATGGTTTAAATCCCCATCACCGAACATGCTTGCCGTTTCAGCCGTGAGGGCGTTATTATGTGACGGTCAACCCCACTATTTGTTGACAGAATAGTTCTCTAAGAGTTGGCGATGGGTGGCGTTTACTAGCTCCCTTCCCTCTAGTCTATTACTGCTAAATTAGGGACAGCTAGCGTAGATATCCCTCGAGTAGCTTTAGTTTATTATTGCTAAATTAGGGACGGCTAGCGCAAATAGCCCTCGTGTAGCTTCACGCGAATTTCAAAACAAACGAAACCAAACAAAGATCAGTAATATGTACATCATATCCCAGCCGGCCTGGTGAGGGCTAGTATTGAAGAAAGACCTTGTCGGCACTGTACGTAACAGATGTAATGTGTTTGACGTATTGTAACCTACTCTCCTATGCTTTCAATTATGGGCTCTTAGTATTGTAACGTATAGTTTTTTCCTTTGACAATCTAGCTGATTGAGACACTTAGTAAATGCTTGAGTCGCACTATTACTGACTAGGTTCTTAGTCTGAGCTGTATGACTGGTGCAGACATTTATTCACAAGATAAACACCGTATCTAATAATATAATGGTTTTAAGTCAGACCAAATTTTTTTGTAATGTGACACTTAATAAAACTTCGTAATTATACATATAATACAAATTTTAACTAGTTTCTAATTTTTCTAGTAATAAACAGAAATTCTGGATCATTGTCATAAATGTGAAAATATATAGCTATTCGATAAAGTCCACTTGTTTTATCCCCCCCCCCCACCAAAAAAACAACAACGCATCAACAATCTCCTTTGAACACCCGTGCAAAATTTCTATTTTAAAGTATCCCAAGATTCGTTGAAATACCTGTTTTTTTAGAGTATTCAATTCCTGATCAGTATGGTACGGTGTCTTGTATTATGTTGGTTATACATATTTTTTTATAAAAATTGAAAAACTAAATTTTTTCAGTATTTCTTAAATTAAG